TAATCAGAAATGAACAGTTTTTAATTACCTTTTAAAGTTATCCAATTAGAATAGATTTTTTTATTTAAGCTCAGTGTATGCTTACTGCGGGTAAAATCGGAGTATTGCTGCCATATTTGGAAGTGTCCAATTCTCATTCTTTATCCTTGATAAAGTCCAAAGTCGCTTACGTCATCTTGAGAAGGATGAAATATTTTCCACCTTGAAGCATCTCCCGACACATGGCCAACGTCGCAAGCCAGTATGTCTATGTCAAACGATTGGGCGTGTCTCATTTTTTTGTTTCCATTAATTCCGTCCTTTAGAACTAAGACTGGCAATGCTGCGTTCACGGAATAAAACCACCTTCGCCTCCTTTGTATTTCAATTATAAATAGCATCCCCAACAAAATCTTTTGTAATGTCAAAGAATACTCGCTGTCACCTTTTTTGTAGTAGAGACTTTGTAATCGCAGATACAACTATAGTACGCCGTTGAACAATGTTGGTGTCAGACACCTTCGAATATCACACGCACTAGTAGTACTTACTAGATAATACTCGCTCGAAAAGTAACCACTGTATAGTGATCTGAATAGAGAATTGTGTAGAGTAGAGAATAGCGGTCTGTATAGTAATAGAGGATAGAATAGAAATGGTGATCTGAATAGTAATAGAGGATAGACTAGAAATAGCGATCGTTAGTCGTCAAGACACTTTCTACTTATGTGTTTCCTCTATGGTCACGTGGTTCACTTAATTCAATAATGGGATCGCCTGCGTTTGTTCACTGGCGATCTATGTTCAAACTCAAATGTCGGCAGCGATACTTTATTCTTATAAAACAGAAACAGACGCCAGCGTGGAGGCTTCCCTGGACGCTACAATCTTTTCCTTAAAGATAATGGCCAATTGTTACCCTATTGTTCATAACCCTCGCTTTCTGCTCTTACATTCATATCATACACCTCATTCAGTAACTCATTCCCTTTCATTGGGCGAGCGTAAGTTAAAAAAAATGAATAATTCAAATGTGATGTTTGATTTTTTTTATTTAATGATAAAAATTAATAAAATAATATAATAATAATATAATTGTTATGGTCCGGTTCCTTGTACCACGTTGATAGTCCAAGGTAGAACCAATAAAGAAGAACGCGAACACAGGTATATTACAAACAGGAATATATACAGAGAAGTAGAGTGTTAGTATGAACGATCAGGTTTAGTAGAGAGAACAATGTAGTCTCGACTAGTATCACTATTCCAATGTCTTGCAGTAATCGTCTGAACGCGACTCTGTTTCGGACTGCCTCTGACTCGACTCTTGACTCGACTTGAACTACTGACTCGACTCCTTGCCTACTCCTGAGGCGCAGTATTTATTAAATATGGAATAGTCCATTATTATTATTATGGGTAAGATCCCATAACACTAATATAATAAAATTAATTAATTAATAAAAATAGTCATGAACAATATGAGAATCCTTACCATTTCAGTAATTTGTATCTTTACATTTCTTCGCTTGAAAATAATTCTTGCAAAAGGGAATGAAATAAGAAGTAGCAGTGAAGCTCAGAACAAGCGTATTCCAATGAATGCCACCAAAGAGAAAATCGTGAAACAGTTGACAAAGTGTGAAACAGACAGGGCAGGGACGACGATTCACAGAGAACTACGCAAGTGTTCTAGATTCGACTACTTGAAGTGCAAACTAGAATCTGTCCTTTTTTTTAAAAAAAGTATAAAAAATATTCTGTCGGACATTAAAAGATAAACAGGTCCAGGCCCAAATGCCGCCATCCCCCCCACGCCCCCCCAAACGTCTGATATTGAATGGAGCCGTTCCAACAGACTGCGACATGAAAATGAAATCTAGCGAAAAGCTGGATAAATATCTGGATCTTGCCAGAGAAGGAAAAAGACTTGTGGAATGCAAAAGTTGAAAGAGAAGTGTTGGGTGTATTCATGACTGGGGAGTTAATAAATGAATCTGTTGTAATGGAATGTCCCACACTCCCTATCGCCTATGTGGACTGACTATATCGGTAGATATATATAATAAGCACAGGATGTACCTGTTGGTCTTTGTTTTTTGGGAAGTACTAGCCTGCTAACCGATTCCCTGTATTTCAGTAGTGTATTCTCTTTTGCAATAAACCCCTCTTTCTTTCATCTACGTCTTGTTCTTTTCACTCGAGTACCACCTTTGTCTGTTTGTAACCTCTTAAAGGATACGACATAATCAATATGAATAGATCCCAGATAAACAAAATAAATGAGAACTAAAAAACATCCCGCTATTTCAAAGTGATCCCTAAAGCGGTGTTAGCACCTCACCTCTTGGGTACGCTATAAACTCTCAAGCAAACTGTAGGTTTTCTATGAGGTTATATTTTTAACAGCGCAATAAGCTTATTTAATACTTATTATTAGTGAATAAAACCTGAAATTTTATTCACTATTTATTTATTTATTTATCTTCTCTCCCAATAGGAATAGATAGGTTCACCTATCGTCCGGTTAACACTGCTTCCTGGTCTTTTGAACAGGAGTAGAGGTTGATCCCTTATTTCCTGTTTAGGATTTGGCTTATGGTTTCTTCTAAAGTTTACATCCACATTATTCATCTAACGTCTCTGACTGAACTCTTAGATGTTATGCACTAATGCAACCTTGACCTTTTCAAGTCTAGTGTTAGCCATTATCTTTCTTGTATAGCACTAAGAAAATTACTTCTTGCCTTTTCTTACGCTCATTACGACCCCACACAATAACCCTTTACTTTGAGTGGATCTTCAGACTTGTATCTGGTGAGCATTAGTAAAAAATACTTTTATCACATATACAAGTAACATAACGTTTAGCGATGTGGTACGCGGCATCGTGTTCAAAATCTGCTGCGTTTACTTTCGTATTAATGCTCTTGAATGGCAGAAGAAAGTTAAAAAAACAAACCCCATCCCCCCCCCCCCAAAAAAAAAACAGAGTTCAACAGCTTCGATGATCCGGCATGATGATCATGGTTTGGCTTTTCTCCACTTCCGTTGGTGCACAAGTGACATTAACTACGCCGCATTCACTCTATGACTTTTGTCAGAGAAATTTTAACAAAAGGAGCTCACAAGCTCACGCACAGATCTGAAAAAGAGGCGCTAAAGAAGAAATAGTTAAGTACGACTGATTTACATACTGAAGAAATTAATGATGAAATTAAGTATATCAACAATTAGCTAGCCTAAAGATAAAAAAAAAAGATTTATTTTAATAAAAATATAATTTTCAAAATAATTCCCTTTCTTGTCAATGGAAATAACTCAACGTTTCTCCATTAATTACATATACTAAACGTTATACAATTAAGTTTTCGGTTTGAAAGTCAGCTAATAACTACATTTCAGCCTATGAAATTATTGGTATGACGACGGAAAGTAACAACATAAATTTTAATTAACATTTGTTGGCATTTAACTAATTCATGGATACCGACATAAAAGCCACTAAATATTTAATTAAATAAAACGAATTCTTTTAACATTAATAATAATATTATTAATATTATTATTAAATGGTCATAGAATGGGAAAACCCTGTCCGTTGTGCAACATGTTTCAATTCAATTTTATCACAAATTAAAAGAGGAACATCACGATTTCTTCAGAAGGTGGTAATTGTATTGGCTCCCATTTATATAAGCCGCCCAGTGTACTAAACAACACTTGATTTATGTAGATTACACAACGGAAAAATTAAGTAAAAGATTTAATGGCCTCAGTTATTATATCAGCCACAACAATATGACATCGGCGGTCTTTGCGTAACATTTTATTAAAAACGACTGTAATTTCGAGCAACATATCTGAAAGTCCACCGACCTTGCGACCCTTAAAACACATGAGGATAGTTACGTATGCAAACTACTATCTTTCCGCCCGGAGATATGAACAGAATGACGGGAGTATTCCGTAGGATCTATACTAATCAGTTTGATTAATTCATCTTAGTAATGAACTAACGGAAAATGTCATATTACTCGCATTTCAGTTGCATGTCATTCACGCTGGCTGCGTTTCAATCATTTTCACGCATTGATTACCAGTACAGCCGTTCTCTCAAGATCAGCGACATTTGTGAAAAGACTTATACTTTTTTAAATAGATTTTTAAAAATATTTTTTATACAATTTTTTAAACAACTTGCAGACAGACATACTGTCGAAATATTGCTGAACATTGTCAAACACTGTTTTTTCTTTTCATTTTCTTTTCTTAAATCGCGCTCTTCTCTATGTGTTTAAAAATATTGCAAGAGTAACTTCAATCATTTTGTTTGTTTAATACTACTACTACTACTAATAATAATAATAACAATAGACTAATAAAAAAGTCCCACATTTTATATGATGTAGGAGGAATCTTACAAATGCCATAAAAGTTTACTCGGCTATTTATTTAATTATTGTCCGTGCATACGCCTTAAAGGGATGTAAGGATAGGACAAGCGGTTATAGGAATGTAAGGTGTAATCGAAGAGCCGAACTTAAATTCTGGTGGAAGCCGTTGTGCCCATTTTCTTCCAAAATACTTTCGCGAAAATTATGAAACCATATCTTCTCCATCACACAAGCTATGGGTTAAACATTTGACAGTCTAATCTTGGTCGGCAATCAGTCAGGGAGAAAGACAACTTCAGATTCAAAACTGGTTGGACGTAGGGATAGTAACTCTACCTCGTAAAACGTACTTGCTGACTGATTCGTTTTAACGTCTTGTCAACCTCTTGCAGGTTATTTAAAGCCAGTAAATGTTTTTATATTTTAAGAAAGTTTTGGAGACTAAAATGATTTACTGAGAGAAATTCTAGTAAATAACCCATTGCTAGGGGAGATAAGATGTGGATTCATATCTTTCTCAAGGGTATTTGCGTGTAAGTATAACGGACCCGAGTGGAATTGGAATTCGGATCTACAACTTCCGATAGCGAGCCGTTATACATAACACCGACCATACATCAAAGCTCACAGCATCTGGTGTTCCCAAGTGCTCACCCATCTAGTTACTAACCAGGCTCAACATTGCTTAACTTCGGTGATAGCAAGAGAACAGGTGTATATATTAGCAGCAAATATCAATCCGAACAATTTTGATTAAAAAAGAATCAATAATATGTGTCTGATTAACGTATGTATTGTCTTCCTGGTAGGCAGGATCTCTTTCGAGAGTTTGAAATTGTCTACGGTGAAGTCATAAAAACAATCATATATATATATATATATATATATATATATATATATATATATATATATATATATATATATATATATCGTAATTATATTCTTTTTAAAATATGATTCCATCGTGACACAGAAATTTCTATGTTTCAAAAATGAAACTAAAATTGTAAATTTAATTTTAAATATTAAACTTAAAATCCAGAGATTCGTTCCATTGTCAAGCGATGCTAGAACAATGGAACGGAACGCTGGATTTTGAATTTAATTTTTAAGATTAGATTTACAATTTTAGTTCCATTTTGAAATGTAGAAATTTCTGTGTCACGATGGAATCATATTTTTAAAAAAGAAAATAATTATAATATTTTGCTCTACTGTTTATATATATATCGGCTCGTTTTTGAAACATGAGAACTCATATGTCGCGAAGGAATCACATTTTTTAAATAAATATATATATATATATATATATATATATATATATATATATATATATATATATATATATATCGGCTCTTGTTTTTTGAAACATGAGAACTCTTATGTAACAAAGTAATCATATTTTTTAAAAATAATTATAATATATATATATATATATATATATATATATATATATATATATATATATATATATATATATATATATAGGGCGGCAATAAAGTCACTATACAGTTATTTAGAATAAGAATTAAGACAAAGCAATGAATGAACAGTCCAGAAATTTTTTATGAAAGTGGTTCTGGTTAATAGCAATAAAATGCTATTTTAAACAATAATAAATTAATTACCGATACTGTTCGAACTACAAGCCACCTGCTTCAAGACTTTGCTTTTTTATTATTCTACACAGTATAGTAGGGTCAGTTAAGCACCGTCTGTGAGAAAAAAGAACCCCCTGACGCAATTCACTCTGCCAGAACCTTGGAAACGGCATGCTGTAATGTTTGACATTCGCGCTGGAAGCTCCAATACGAGCTTTTTTGAGAGTTTGGGTGACAATCTGAGGACAGTGTAGAGGATTCAGAAAGAGTTGGTTGATATATCCAGTGAACATCATGTTGTTTGGAATGATCATTCGGGATGGCCTTCATTCACCTTCCTACAGGGCCTCAGACCCAACACGGAGGCCTACATTAAGTGTTTCGAGGAGGTAGTGCTATCAAGAAGGTGGCTGCTGGAAGACCTTATGTCTGGCAACAGGACTCTGCACCATGCCACACAAGCGGGAGAACACAATTATGGCTGTCAGACAATTTCTGCGACCACATCACCCCTTATATCTAGCTATCTAGCTATACAGCCTGTAACCCTCTTGATTATTATTTGTGGGGTGCAACTGCGCAAGAGACAAACAAAACGCCTTTTAACAGCAAAGATGAACTGAAGGCAAGAATTACCGCAGCATTCACCAAGTTAAACAAAGAGACCACCCAGAAGAATTGCAAGAAATTCCGAAATTGTCTAGAGGCTGTGCTTAAAGCTAATGGCGATTTTATTGAAACAATTTACTCATAAGTATTTCAAGATATTTTTGTGCCATTTTGGTCAATATATCTTTTAAAATGGGAAGTCAGTGTAATTTTCATTTTTGTACAATTTAGACGAAAATTTATCCATCTCACCTTATTTGATGTGTGTGTGTGTGAATATATATATATATATATATATATATATATATATATATATATATATACATACATAAATACACACACACACACACACACACACATATATATATATATATATATATATATATATATATATATTTATGCGTGTGTGTGTGTGTGTGTGTGTGTGTGAAGGTGTAAGGAAAAGTTCTTGGATATGAAATTTTTATTCGTTCTGATTCTGGGAATTGGGCTGTGCCGACAAATTTTTCAGACACAATTTCTTATCTGTATTTTTCAGTTCTTTCTTTCTCCCTCTCTCAATATACATATATATATATATATATATATATATATATATATATATATATATATATGTGTGTGTGTGTGTCTGTATACATGATTAAAACACACTCAACCACATATACAACAGCTTTCTATCTATTCATATATAGGTGCACATAAATGCACACGCACGCACACAAACAAGCACACATATACATATAAGTAACTATATATGGGTTCATATATATATACCTTAAGCTTACACTTCTCCATATAATTTTGTATTTTCAGTTAAAACAATAAATTAAAGTCATGTACGTAGCTATTTAATAAATACCCACATTACATAATTTGGGTAATTACCTCTGCACGTCCACGCGCAGTGATCATTTATAAATCAGTGACAACAATTCAAGCCCCCACCCATTACCGAAATGAGAGATACCTAAATTTCTTTCACACTCCAGGCTTTATTAGAATATTTAATTCCGCGTGACTAATTTTTCATCTATATTCTTTTTACATCATTTTCGCTTTATTCAACCTTGCGTATAATTGTATATATTTTTCTGTAAAAATGAAGATTATTTCAATCTTTTTTTAATTGTTTACTTTATTCTAAAAAAAAAATGTCACGAAAACTTGTAGTGTCAAAAAGATTAACTGAAAAATGATTTCTACTGATAGCGTTGCGACTTTGGTTCTAACTGAATATTATATTATTTTTTTTTATTCTATTTTCAAGTGTACATAAAGTTAGTAAACGACTTAAATCTTTGATCCTGAAAACGTATTCTTATGGCTTATGTTAACAGTAAAATAAAGGATTTTTTTTAAAGATAAAAATCCAAATATCTGAATAAATTAAAATATTCAAACCTGTTGCTTCATTCAGCCAAAATATAATTTCATTTATCCATGCGAATCATTTCAACAGTAAGTAGTAATCTAAAACATTGTTTCAGTATACATCATTTTGTTTAAAAATCCTTAACTCTTCTTAACGTCGTATGCATTAAAAGATCATGACAGAAAAAATTCTATAAAGAAAACTCTATGAAAACCATTCTATTTAAATCGTTCTGTAAAGACTATTCTATCCAGACCATTCTATAAAATCATTCCATAGAAACAATTATATGAAGATGATTCTATGAAGATGATTCTATAAAATCTATTCTATAAAGAGGAATTTATAATGATCATTCTATGAAGGTCTTAAAGACCATTCTATAAAGATCATTCTATACAGATTATACTATAAAGACTATTCTATAAAGAGGATTCAATGAACATCATTCTATAAAGTTCATTCTATAAAGAGTATTCTATGAAGACCATTCTATAAAGATTTTATAAAGACCATTCTCTAAAGAGCATTCTAGAAAGAACATTCTAAAAGACCATTCTCTAAAGACTATTCTAGAAGGACCATTCTATAAAAAACATTCTATGAAGATCATTCTATGAAGAAGAATCTTTACATATCATGAAGATATTCGTGATATAGAAATACAGCAATAAGATGATTTATTACTTTCTCAAGATAATTATTACCAAGTGAACTAACATGAACAGTTATCGAGTGGAAATTCGAACATGTATAAACGATTCCCTTTTGGGAGCTGATAAGCCAGACTACCCGCACCTTTGATTTAATTATAATGGTAAAGTCTTGTACTAAACGAACCACTCTTTTCGAAAGAACTGAATAGAGAGAACGGTTGCAAACGGCTGTCACACTCCCAAGGGCTCAAGCCAAGTATAACTTACTATTTGATCCTCATCTGGGGGAGACGAATCGATGGATACATGCATTTCACGTGGGTATTTGCGCATCAGTGTATGTAACTCGACTGGAATGCGTCTCTCCACTTTGACATTGCAAACAACTATCCATTGCATCACCCCCGCAATCTATATATATATATATATATATATATATATATATATATATTTTTTTTTTTTTAAATGGTTAGGTATTTCTGAAAGATATTAGTTTTTCTTATTAAAGAGCTCAGTATAAGAATTGAGAATTAAAAGTGGAAAATAAAATGAAATGTTCATTTATTTTGTCACAGCTCTGGGTTTCACTGAAATTGTATCCGCAACATTTAATTGCAACATTTATTTATTTTTTTTGCGTTCACACACACACACACACACACACACACACACACACATATATATATATATATATATATATATATATATATATGTGTGTGTGTGTTTTGTGTGTGTGTGTATGTGAATACCAAATGGAAAATAATATATTAAATGACACATTGCTTGACATTTATATTTTATATATATTTCATATGTATATATATATATATATATATATATATATGTGTGTGTGTGTGTGTGTGTGTGTGTGTGTATATATATATATATATATATATATATATATATATATATATAATCAAATCCGTAGGTGGTAGAGATTATTTCAAGGAGGTTTTTTTAATATAAAATTATTAAAAAATAAATCCATGATGAGAGCTCATTGTATAAATTTATATTCAGAGCAATATAAATAAATAAGGAAAAGACTTAAATAATCATCATATAAACGATTATATGATGAATATTTAAGGTCTTTTCCTTATTATATATGTATATATATGTAAGCATATACACGCACACTCACAAGCACACACACACATACGCACACACACACATATATATGAATATAAAATATTGCATATTGGGTGCTGCTTTTAATAAGATAGTGCTCGATGTATATTATCAGAGCTAAAATTTATATTAATAATAAATATACTTTTTTTTTCTTACCGGTTGCACAACTCTGACTTTCATGCAAAATGCAATCGTCAGGTTCCAATTGAAAACAAATCAATAATTCGCAGCATAATTATGAAAATAAAAAAAAAATTGACAAAATAAATAACTATTTTTCAGCGTAATCTCCTTCCCTTGTCAATGCACTTAGCCCACATCTCCACGACTAATCACATAGAACGAACATTATACAATGAAACTTTTAGATCAAACTCTTTAGATTATTTAATAACTTTGTGTTATGTCATGAACATACTGACTCACCTTCATATAAGAATGCTCACAACAAATCAACACGAAAAATAATGAATATTACTTACCTGTTTGCTAGTACTCCAGCTACTATAGATCCGATAGAAGTCATCAGAAGTTGTACAAAGAAGACCCATGACATCTCCCTCAGGTCAGTTCCCGTCTGGCATCCGAGGTCAAGCAAAGTAGGTCCCAGGCATGCCACACCCATGCCAAAACTACCAAACACCATACAATAGGTGAACACGTCCAGCCAATTTTGTGTAAACAGTTTAGTGAAACTAACCATCTCGGCCCCTGCAGGCCCATCCGCTGGTCCTAGGAGGCCGTTCAACGTTGCTGTATTTTCATCTCCATTACCACCACCTCCTCCGCTGCCGGCACCCCCGGGTGGCACTCCAGTATTTGACAGACCATTGGCATTTTTTGTAACAGCTCCAACACCGTTCGCGTAATTGCCGGTGTGGTTAGCCATTTCTTTGTTTGTGTCACCAGCAGTGACACCTTTGCCTCCACGACCACCGGTACGGCTTACATCTCTGCTTCCTCTGTGTTCCATAGTGAGTGTACTCATTCCAGACTCACCACCCTAATAAAGAATAATATTTGCTTTATAGTCTGTTTCTGACTATAAATATGTTTTTAAATATATATAGGTAGGGGCTTGTTTGTAAGTGCTTGTTAGTACATTTTACATGTGTTTGTATAGTTTTGGATATTAAAGCTGGTTCATTTTTGTAATGCTGATAGCGAAAAGGTTAAAGAAAGTATATTTCTTCAGTTGACTGTCGGCTCTAAAAATTGAAGAATGTTTAAGATTGATTTATATATGCATAGACTGCAACTCTATGTACGTATATATGTATCGATATCGTTATGTAGTTAGAGTGGCGAGAGCAGCTATATGTGAAATAGGTAAAGTGCTGGGCAGTCTTTATAGTGTTGTATCAGGGCGCGTGCATATAAATATATATCTTAGCACATTTCTTACCCGTGGATACATAAACTAGTACGAATAGATATGTACATCAGTTGACAAACACCCCCTCACTCTCAGGCGTGCTTTTTTTTTCTTTTTTTTTTTAACTCTCCTTCACGTGTTTGGTATTTTTCTTCTCTCTTTTTTTCTTTCTTTCCTAACCTTTCTTGTTAATTTCCTCTTTCTTTAGAGTATGTTTATCTCCGTTTTTTTTTTGTCTCTTATATCCTGCCCAATTTTATATGTCGAAAAACAAGACAATTCCTAAAAAAAGAAACACAACTACTTCTGTAAACCGGGAAAATACGTTTCGCGTATTCTTTATCACATCCTTCTCTGATGTAGGTACACAGCGATTCCCTTCCATATAGGAAATATATATATATATATATATATATATATATATATATATATATATATATATATATATATGTATATATGACCAGGCAAAAAGCAGTCAAGCGATAGATAGAAAGAAAACTAGAAAAGAGAGAGAAAGAAAGAGAGATGTCGTTGTAGTATAAGAGTGTGGGAGATACTTAGTCGTTTCCGGGCCAAGTGTAGCACAGAGCACCCTACACTGTATATTTGCGTGTCCAAGTGAATTGTGAATATGCTCATATATACATGACACTAAGGTTACTATCAATATGATGACGACTCATTGCCTGTTGTTACTATTGCTGCTGCTGCTGGTGTTGCGACTGCGGTTGTTGCTACCACTACTGCCACTGCTGCTGGGCGTTTTTTTCTTTTACTACGTTACTGACTATTAGAACTGCTGCTAGTTCTACTGCTGATGTTCGTTTTCTAGCTTCTTGTATCTCCTTCATAATATGACCAAGTACCACTTCTAACGCTGAGCACACGGCTACACTTTCCAATGATGTGTCTGCGAATTGTAACTACTATTACCATTACAACTACTAAAGAAATACAGTAGTTTCTCTGGACAAGGTGCATCTAGTCAGTTAAATTTTTAAGGAAAAACAAACGAAAAGAAAGTATGTCTTTTTAATTACTGTATTCGGTTTTAATTTTTCGAAAACTAAAAGCTACCAAACGGAAGAAATATTTAATAATTCAAAATGTTATTTTTCTATTCAAATCTAGCTTAAAAATGGAAAAAAAAAATCGGTTATTTTATATCAAATGTAAGCAAAATAATATATATATATATACATACACACACACACACACACACACACACACACACACACACACATATATATATATATATATATATATATATATATATATATATATATATATATATATATATATATGGTTTTGTACAGACCCAGCGGTTTTTACACGAAACAGCACCTGTTGGATTCAATGCAACATTAATAGCAACAGTTTTGATTGTCCGTAGCATAGCTTGCTTGGCGTTGGCTCAGCAGTCAAAAAAAAAAAAAAAATATATATATATATATGCGAAGTGATGAAAAATTCTCAGCCAATTCCATTCCCCTATTTCATAATTCTCATTACTGATTTTGGAAGATGGGTGGAGATTTTTAAGCACTCTTTCATATATATGAAAAAATATATATCCAGTCTTCAGATAATTGTTAAAAAGAATAAGGAACTGATGATGAAGCTGATGATGATGATGCGCTAAAATAACTGTTTGTCTTTTTCAAAATATCTTTATATATATATATACACTCACCCTATCGCTAGATTGATATATAGATACATAATACATTTATGCATGTTTGCATATGCGTGTGTGTGTGTGTGTGTGTGTGTGACTCTATACATGTTTTGCTATTGTCTTGGGCCCGTCATGTGAATGCTACTCGTTTAATTAAATCTCTCTTTCTCTGACTTTATATCTATATCTATATATATATACACACGCACACACACGCGCGCGCACGCACACACACACACACACACACACACACATATATATATATATATATATATATATATATATATATATATATATATATAAAGTCATTTGAGAGCACCCAGTGAAATCAGAGTTAACAAATTAGTCTGAATTGCCAGTTTATTATATATTAAATTAAAAGTCTCTGTGCATCAATAATTATCAGTTTGTAGCTTACCTCGTGGCTAAGGTAGGTGCATAATTATCTGAAGTTAGGACTTCGAACGCTGACAGAATATATATACTTGAAATAATATTACAATAGTGTTTTTGTCCATATTTAGAAAAAGACTGACAACTAATCTTAGCATATATATATATATATATATATATATATATATATATATATATATATATATATATATATATAGTTTAATTAAATTCAACGCAGTATATCATAATCGTTGCAAAATTCAGTTCAGTTCAATTCAGTTCTTTTCAAAATTAAACAAAAAAAAGATTTTATCTGTTGAATTCAATGTTAAATATACATATATATATATATATATATATATATATATATATATATTCATATATTCATATATTCATATATATATATATATATATATATATTCATATATATATATTCATATATTGTCATCCACAGACAGACTGTTTCGCTGTATCAAAGCTCATCAGTGTGGCTAGACGTCCGGTTGCCTCTAGCTAGGATCGAAACCCGTCTGAATTGGCGTCAGTCGGAGATTTTATGTAAACTTAACAGGATATCAATATGATGGTGAATATCTTCGTTGAAATATCCATAAACCACTCTGAGCATGGCTCATGTGATCCAAAAGCTTAGGTCGAAGAAATGCATAATAAAAAGAATACAAATGTTGGACAAATTTTCTCCTAAAATTAAAGCAATTATGCATAACTTAGAACGGCACATGATAAAACATAATAGATGTTCGGTGTCTTTATATTTAACTATATATGTTTGAATATATATATATATATATATATATATATATATATATATATATATATATATGATTTTCAAAGCCTAGCTTAGATGTGGTACAAGGCCAAAAGTAGGGGGCACCCAGTGAGGATCGAACTCACTGTTCAGTCGTAATTGTTCGATCTAGACAAGTTTGATAATCATTACACTACCATTATATATATGTGTGTGTGTGCGTGTATGTGTGTGTGTGTATGTGTGTGTGCGTTTGCATGTTTATATATATATATATATATATATATATATATATATATATAAAGAGAGAGAGAGACAGAGGGAGAGAGAAGAAAGAAAGAAAGATTGAAAGAAAGGGATAGATAGGGATGTGCGTTTGTGACTCCATAGGTTCATCGTTGTGTGTATGTGTGTCGCTCGGCTGATAATATTGCAATATCATAGTCAAATATGAAAGCGTCTCACACTAAATTTTCTGATATTCCAGTTTCTTTCTTATTCCTAACATTACCGTATCTAAATTTGAAATATGCATAACAGACATGAATTAAAGATCATGCAAACAAACAAACAAACAGACAAACAAAATAAAAAGAAAAATTAAAACTTCAGTTTTAAGCAGACGACCAAAAAGTGATGCTGATGTGAGTCTGTTTTCACCTAAAGGTCACCGGAAAAAGAAAACTTTAATAGTCGATAATGCATACATACAAGTGATCCACAACAGGTCAAAAATCAGCAGCTGTTAGTTTTATTGATTTGGATTTCATTTACTTGTAAACGACGAAAACTTAAAGCTTAATCAAGACTGTCAACCCCTAATCTTTGTCGTGAGACTCAAGCGGAAATACATTTCTATATAACTATCTACAAACACAAGTTACACGTTACTATGTAGTCGCTCATTTGCATAATATTTCTTTGATACTATCCACTCATTAAGCAATCACCCTCAATATCTATGTTGTTTTTTCACGCCTCATTCACTCTACATTTAGTCAGTTGTAGTCAATACAATAAGTGTCGACTATAACCTCAGTTTCTAGTAGTTGATCTGCTTGTTACACCTTATTTGAAATACACAGAGAAAAGGGTATCTAGACTCTGAGAACGTACTTAATTATCCAATGTCGACAGTCTTGTGCTTATACAATATATAGAGACAATTATTACGACTGCGGTGTGCGGATGTCTCGTGAGAGTCTTCATTCTGCACTCAGCATGTTGCGCAGGATCGATCCGATGTGAAGGCGCATCTGTCGTCATGAATCGAGCAAATGCTTTTCGCCCGAACAATCTTCTACATAAATTATCTGTTTCCCTAAGCAATGAAAATAAGGAACATTACAACAAAATAAGCAGTTTATATTATTTACTTAAAATTTTAAAAATGTCTCCAATTTCCGAACAGAAGCCTGTTGCCGTACTAACAGGCAAATGATATTTTTCCCTCTTATCGTAACAAAACACATCTATACGCACTGTTTCTTTTGTTAATGTCTGAAAAGAAAAAAAAAACATTACAGTGCGAATTTGAGTAATATTTTTCTGTTATTTCCAAACTTTTGATCATGTAAATAATGCCTGTTGAGGAAATTATTTATTTATAAAACGTGTGAATGTTCGGAAAAGACGTTTTTAAATTAAATTTTATAGCGTATAATTTGTACACTACTTAAAAATACATTTTTTATAAGGAAATTAATTGAAATAATTGTTATAATAGCAAAAAGATAAAAAATACGTATTTCTAAAAAT